CCTGCTGCAGTAATACCATCTCGAAGAGCAGCTAACACATCAGGTCTACGTAAAATTTTGCGATGGTTATCGTCTTCGTCTTCAACGGATTCTGTACCGCTAGCATTGGCGGCGCGTTCCGGATCGGTTGTCATATTACTACAATTCAAATGTGTCGCTATATCAATTCACTTCCTTTGGCCAATTATCTATTATTCTAATCTAAAAGTTTCTTAGCGTTCACAGCTGTAAACTTGATTTTTAAAGCCATAAACTTGGTAACATCAAACTGTCTTCAATCTGCTTGAATTTTACGTAGACTGAGAACATTATATATATTTCTGTACACTACTATACAGTACATGGTAACTTCACGTGACTCGATCACTAAAGCAGTGCTAACATTTATGCTAATATACATTGCTAGGTATAAATAAAAAGGCAAGCGACTAATTTTGAGCAGATCTTTAATAACTTGTTTTTGCAACATAATTCAGGAATAAGTAGGTAAAAAAGCGTGTAAGTAGCTCGATTATTACAATGAGTACCAGGAAAAATCTCTAGAAGCCTGTTCTTTTTAGCTAAACTTTTGCACAGTTCATCTTCCTTCCTTTTTTCTTCCAGAGGAAGAAAGAAGAAAAAGATGAACTAGTTCAAAAGTTCAACTAAAAAAACAGGCCTGATGTAACATAAATTCTTTCACTATCGCATGGGACAACTCAATAAGATCTTGATTTAGATTTCTAATAAATACAAATTATTTCATATCCCTTAATAACAAAAACACTTGGTAAAAAAAAAAATGTTTCAACAACTTGGCTACAAGATAGTGTTCTAGGTAATAAACTTAGGAAATCGATTAAATTTCTCAGACACAAAAATGTACAATGTGACGTGATACGTAAAATAACGTGCCAGATTCATGGGATCGCACAAGACGCACGTGACGGGATAAAAGGAACATTCGGATAGCCATAGCCTCAAGTCACGTTGATTTCGTGTCAAAAATTGAGCGAGCGGCACATCTTCTTGCATTACAGTAAATTACTAGAATTGTCCAGAATACATAATTTCCAGCAATTCACTGCAAGTAAGAAAACGTGCATTGCCGCTGGCTTTATACGCTCGAATTTTTATGAACCCCTCGACCAAGTGAATCGGTCTGTGCGCGAACTTGAGAGTCGAATGGAAGATTATTCCAGAGTTTCGGTTGCAAGATCAGGACTGACGAGAGTACGAGATTGGATGCGCGTGGCGAGAGCGTCGGCGAGACGACACGTTGAATGACATTGAGAGGACGAGACTAAAGGCAACTAAGGGCCCCAAGATTCGCGCCTCGCGACGCTCAGTTCCACAGGAGAATTCGGCCGGGAATGGCTCGGTGGGAACGTGCACGTGGCACGAGGACAACGAGGTCGTACGACGTACGACGTACGACGGAAGATGGATGTGAAGAAGGACGAAACGTGGGGGACAAAGTGCGCGCGCGAGGAACAACGTCACGGCGAGGTACGTCGCGACGTGATGCAAATAATTTCTGCCTCCGCGGCGTCGCGGCCAGATTCCGTATTCCCGATTAACGGGTCCTACCTTCGTATCACGAAGTCGGGATCCGCGTGTGAGATAGGTGAAAACCAAACCTGACGAAACCAGAAAACGAACAACGGACTGCAACGGACCGGTCGCTGCTGCCTCTTTAACGACGGTTGGGTCGCGGGTATATGCGCGATACGAAGAGGGATGAACGGCGGTTGAGAATCGCGATCAATCGCGATCTCTCGATTCTCTCTGTTCAAGTACTCGAAACTCGAAACACGGGAATCGATAGGCCTGTTCTTTTTGACTGAACTTTTGTACCAGTGCATCTTTCTTCTTCTTCTTTCCTTCTAAAGAGAAAAGGAAAAAAGATGAACCGGTGGCAAAAGTTCAGTTAAAAAGAACAGGCCTGATGTGTTTCGTTGCGCTCAATAACTGAAATAAGCGTATTAAATTAGAGCAACTTCAATTAAATTTCAATTGTTGATCTATTAATCTGTATTATAATTATAATACAGATATTTGTGTTATTTTATTAACACGAATAGAATTATTAAGTTTATTTAACTTATTTGGATAAAAGATTCAAAATTGTTTTTACGAGAAAAGAAGGAAAGATGAAACACATAAAGATTCAGCTACAAAGCTTGAAGGAAAAAAACGAATAAAATGTTACAGAGATTAAGAATTAAAAATATCAAAATGTAGCGTTAACAAATTGACAGTATTTAAAGCATTAAATTTATCCGCGTTGCTTGAAATTTTCAAAAATTTTTTCTGCGTTGAAAAGAGAAGGAAGTAAAGATTCTGAATACCAAAAGTGCAAGCAACACGAATAGACTTATTAAAAACATCGGACTTAAATTGAGAAATACGAAAGAATAAAAAATATTAAGAAATTTTTTGTTTTGTTTTGTTTTTGTTAAAGATTATTAATGCGTTCGGGGAGACGCTATTAGAGCTATTTGGGACATTCTATCCTTGTTTTACATCTAAAAACAATGAAGAAAGCATGACAGAAGTAGTGCTAATAGCGTTTTCCCGAATGCACCATATATAGGCAAAAGATATGTAAAGCTATTTCTAATGTCGTCATTGGTCGCGAGATGCAGCCGCTTGATGAAAACGCAACCAAGGCTGCTTTTTCATGCTGACGCATGAAAATGCAGCCTAAATATTCCGAAATTTAAATTCGCCGTCCGGTGTGACGTCTATATCAATCTCGCGCCGGGTGCGCCGTGACGTTGGCACGAAAATAACGCAGTCTCGGCGCAGCGTAGCATTCGTACGTATTATTCGTGTCAATTCGCATTCGCTGTGGTTATGTTTTGCGACGAGATCCGAGACTCAGGTGACCGTGATTATATCATTTTTTTCCCTTCCGGTGCGCAACAAGAATCGTCACCATCGTCACGGTCGTTCCTACTCGTCGCGAGTTAAATTCACTTTCCCCCCTTTCCCTCCATCTCTTTCCTTCTCTCTTGCGCTCCCCCGTTGAGCTATTTTCACACGCGCGCATTTTCGGGGAAGCGACTACCCGGGAACGGTGAAATATGTGTGTACGTATTCGTGCGACGCGATAACACTCGGCCGAAAAATATGTCAGCGGGCATCACGGATCCGAACGGGATTGTCACGCGAGTGGAACACACACACGATGGCTACCTCATCGATGAAGTCGACTACATCAACCTGTCGGACCTGCAGTTCGATGACGACGACGACGTTTGGTGGGTGTCGCTCGCCCGTCGATGACCCTTTAATCGGCCTGCACCTCCTTGGAATATGCTCACCATATTTGTCTTTAATTCCCTACTCCATTTTTCTACTCGGAATATGAATAAAAACAATAAGAATAATGAGCATAATAAATAACAGTACGTTTTGAATTGGGAGCATGTGTTGTTTGTAGATGAAGTTTCATTTAATTGGTAGATTTCTACATTTTTCTTTATATGGTTTAATATATATTGCTCTTGAGTCAATTTTAATTATATGTATTTAAGAATTATCTGTATATTAGTCTAGTTGATTTATTGTGGCCTATAAGTTTCTAAAATAACTTGGAAATGTAGAAGATAAAACTTTTATCAGGGTTATATATTTTAAGATTACATTTTACATGGACTATTTATGTATTGTTTATACTAAATTTACACAAATTTTTTTCATATAGACATAGTAGTGTAAATAGACATAGTATGTAAATTATTAGAAATTTTATGATATAATATAGAAAAGAAGTAATTAGGTTTTATGATTGTTAATATAATCTGATTCCAATATTGGTAAATAAAAATATATAAACGAGATAAAAAGCTTTAAGTAGTCCAGTGTAACGATAAAAAACATAAGCTTTGATGATTCATACATTATTTATGTAAATTATATATAAAACATATGACGAATTCAGGTACTTGTATTATACTAGATTAGTATATACTAAAAGCTACTTATACATAAAATTAGTAAAGTTAAATGTAAAAGCATATGACTACTTAACAAATTAAATACCTAATATTGACATGTCATGTTATTTTACAGAATAATACATGTATTATTTCATTGTAAAGTTATTTATATTATGCTCCTACATTTAGATACTTTATATAAAACAGCCTTTAATATGTACTAATTCAATGTAGTACAGATGGCTGAATTTTCTCCAATAGAGTACATAATTTACATTATATTATGTAGATGTGTACAATATCAGGAGATATGGTAGTGTTTCGATCATGTTTTACTCATAAATTTTACACACAATTCTGATTTTTATATTTGTTAAGGAAAAGGACAAATGAGTCAAGTGTAATTAGTAAGGTGCAAATTAGATTTATTTGTATCTAGAAAATGTACAACAAACTGTGATTATGATTATATTATATATATTTTAAATAAGAATAGACTCAATTTGCGTCTAACTGCACTTGTGTCTTGCTCTGTGCACCTTTTGCTTAATGAATTTTGAGAAAATAAATTAATATATTTTTATTTTCTAATATAATAAAATATTAATTTTTTTTGTTTTATTTCAATGTTAATGAATTAACTTGATTAAATTAATTTTGATTTAATTGTTAATTTAAGATTATTTTTTCTTAGGTTATACATGCCTCTGCATTGCTCAACTGGATCTACAATTCAGGATATATATGCCTGGCTGAAGACAGAACCGGAATTGGATGTTCGAAGTACAAAACATGATAATATTGCATTAATTTATCCGCTAAATATTCTCAGCTTTATTTACAATCTCATAATCTAAGCATTACTTGCTATTGTTATTAAATTTAATATGTATATTTAGATAACAAAAAATGCATCGACACGAGAACATTCACGAGACCTAAGAAACGATCAGCTCGAATGAGCTTTGAATCGATTTTCGAGGGACTACCGCCTTCTACAACGGATGTACAGAAGCTGCAAGATATAGATATTACATACATAGAAAATGTAGGTTGTTCAACCGTCTTATATATTCTATATATATAACCGTCTTATATATATTCTATGTAGATATATAATATTAAAGTATGATTGTTATACATATAAAAGGATTTTCCTTATATTTGAAATAAATAGCTTATATGATCTGATAATAAAGTTCCCGGATTGCAATAATAAAAAACAGACATTTCAGATAACAAATTGTTATATTTTATCTCTTAAAGTAGTCCATCAATATACACATGTCTTTGATATAAAATCTTAATTTTTTTTAAATCTGTTGAAATGCTATTCAAAACATTTATCTCATTTCACTGAATATCTTCGATAGCTTGAAAATATTTATCTTTCATAATATTTTTGTATGCTGTTGGAATAATATGAAATCAATCCAAATGTTGAACTGTTGGAATAATATGAAATCAATCCAAATGTTGACAAAAACGATGATTCTTTTCAGCGTAACAATATTGTCATGTAATTTTCTTGGTCAAGAAAGAGGTTGAGATTAATCACGCATCTTATTTGCCGGAACTAGCTCTTTCGGATTTCGTACTGTTCTTAAAGATCAAAAACATGAAAGATAAACATTTTCAAGACATCGATAACAATTAAAAAAATATGACGAGTACTCTAAATAGCATTCTAAATATGGACTTAAAAAAATATTGGAAGCTTTGTATCAAAGATATGTGGAGTGTATTGGTATCATAGGAGACTATAGAAAATAACATAACATTTTGTTATTGGAGATATTTGTGTTTTTTTTAGCACTGCAGTCTGGAAATTTTATTGTCTATATATTTTGTAAAATTAATTTTGAATATTTTTCTGTTGAACAATACTAATTAATTATATATTAATTAAAATCTATAATACATTATTATATTAAATATGAATGAAATTTTATTTTGTATCATTATGTAGGTGGAAAAATATTTACCTGCAATAATTAGAGATAAAGAATCTGTGCCACCGATCTTGAAGCCGTCTACCAAAACGGCTTTAAATATCTTATCCGACGAAATCTCAGTGACATCAGGGCAGGAAAGCATGGAAGCTTTCTTAAATATGTCACAATCCAAAGGAATAGATTCATTTATAAATTTAGGGGAACCCGAGTTCAGTGATATGTTGATGAACATATCACAGCCTTCTATTTTGAGTGCATCTGTTATCGCAAACGAATCCATATTTATTAAAAACAATATACCACCAGTAATAAATAAAAACATGGCTCAAAACAGCGACATGGAAAAAAGCTCAAACTCTGATGATATTAATAATGAAACATATGTGATGCAAAACTCTGACAAAACAATTACACCGGACAAAATTTATTGCACAAATACTTTAAGCAACACCTGCAAAGAATTTCTTCAACTCGATAAAGTCTTGAACGAGACATATAATGCGGCAGCTCATAGTGGAACATCAGCAAGATCGAGTCTCGACAAACAAGAGGCCGCTTTGTCTTCCACTTTTGTAGCCGAGCCTAATGCTAATACTAATTTCGTGCAATTACAAAATGAAGCAAGTAATGGCATTGAATTACTAGATACTACATATCTATCTTCAGCAAAAGGCGCTAAGAGATCAAATTCGCCAGTATCGATTGTTAGCGATACGTACATACCTACAACGCGCGTAAATAAAGCAGATTTGAATGTAACATGTGATATTCTGCCAGATAAAATCGAATCTGTAGCGCTTTTCACGCGTGAGACACTTGCAAAGGAAAGCGCTTTA